GACAAAAGCGGCGACTTCTATTGTCTGTCTCACTTTTATGATGCATGGGTGGATGAAAGTGCATGGTGTTGGTGGCATTAGCAATAATTGATGTGAATTATGTAGGTGATTTTTTTTCTCCGGTTTGCTTTTATTGCGTTCTTGTTTTTATTGTCGTTCGTGTCTAATTCTTTGCCTGCGTTTTTCCCTGGGATCTCTTTTCGTAACAAGAAAGTGGCTGTTTTACTTCGGAAACTTTCAATCGTTGGATGTAACATTTATGCAACGGGATCCTTTTCGACCTTCCGCACATTTCTTAAATAATGCCAACTCCAAGTCATGCAATTTAGATCCGAAACCCTCGCGAAGCCACATAATGTGACACATTTTGATCGAGGGTTTTTCAACTGACCGCTTTACCTCCTTGATAAATTTCAACAATATGTATACCTCACGAAAGAACATACCGTATCAATTAGAATCTTTGTCATTGAAAATTGGTAGTTTTAGTCTTCGACAATTGTTAATTAAAAAGGAGTTGTTACAGTAGGTAACTAGCAAAATATAAAAAAATCTTGACATAAATTTTATTTTTTTTTTGTGTTCAGCCCTACTCGGTTAAAGATTCTTTAATTTCTTCAAGTAAGTCCACACCATTCCAGAAATAAATAATTTTCTAATTGTCCTCTCTTTCTGTAGCGATGATATTTAATAGGAAACTAAACTAGTCTATTGAAACATTTTGTTTTATTTATCCTGTCCCAGTAATTGGATTAAACTACATCATTTCAAATGAGTAATAAATAAAATTTCTAAAAAATCAAGTATGCCATAAACAAACTATTTATCTGTAGAGTATGACAAATACAATTATGAGGAAAAGTTGTTTAAAATCAACGTTTAGGCTCCTATTACAAATTTCAAAATCATCGGCCAACTATGATTTTTTTATTTTTTTTATTTTTTTTTTCTAGGGTAATTGACTTAAAATTTATTTAGTACAAATAATCTAAATGTATTTTTTATTCGTAATAAACTGTTAAAAATAAAATTCTTTGATTTGTGAATTAATAAACATATGATTTTGAAATTTGGTAAACGGGCCTAAATGTTGATTTTAAACAACTTTTTGAAATAACTTTTTCTCGTCTTTACATTTCAAAAGGCACTTTACAGAAAAATAGTTTTTTTTGAAAATTTCGCAAGCATACTTAATTTTTCTAAACTAACATAAATTAGTCAATAATAACCAAACAGGGCTAAACAACAAAAAAAAATAAATCGAGAGTTTTTTATCTTTTACAAAAGTCACTTCATCTATCCGTGGACACACAGCAGAAAGTCTCTGATAATGTTTTCAGCTCGGTTTTTAGATTTCCTCGCTTTGTGAACTTTACAATTCTTGTGGAAAAACAATTTTATTTAATTAGAGGTTATTTTTACATCATAAACTTTAATTAAAACAATTATCATGGTGGGTTGCCATTAAAAAAAAAAAAATCAAAACTCGAAAACAAAGAAATTTCGAAAAATTTTATTCGCTACACGCTACACTAGTTATTTTTTCGTAAAGTGGTTAGTTTACGAAAGAAATGCTTAGTTCCATACGTTATGTTCACCTGGTATGTATACACTTTCGCGAAATTTTTAACTGGAATAAAATTTATAATTTGAATATAAGCGATTCTTGTAAAAAATTCTGAAACAGGCCGATTTTTATTTTTCCTTGTGCATCATTTGATACATATGATTTTTCTTTATCTGCTTTCTGAAATGCACAGCCACCTATAACTTTTTTTCAAATGTAATGGTAGGACAAGTGACACCTCATTTTAAAATTCTTAAGTTGCATACTATTTAATGCAATAAATGTTCAAAATGGGCACCGTTCTTTTTCGGACAAATTAGAAATCAAAAATAACATGCATTTCTTACCATTTGCATTATTTCGGGTGATTTACCTAATTTTATTCCTAAAACATTCATGAAGGTCTTCAATGTTATTCGATTTTGTCGCAAATCACATTCGAAATGTTGCAAAACGTAAGGAATACATGTTACAATCGTTTTGCAGTTTGTCAGGAAAGGAACGATATCCATTTTAAATATTTGTTGCATAAAATAGAATTCATCTTATAAGTTTGGTTTTATTTTTTATCACGTAGTCTTTAAAAAATAATCAGAAAATAAATAGTACATTGTATTTCTTGCAAAACGACCTTTGAAAGGAGGTGTCACTTGTCATACCATTACATTTGAAGAAAAAGTTATAGGTGGCTGTGCATTTCAGAAAGTAGATAAAGAAAAACCATATGTGTCAAATGATGCGCAAGAAAAAATAACAATCGATTTTTTACAAAAATCGCTCATATTCAAATTATAAATTTAATTCCAATTAAAAATTCCACTTTGTATACTGAAAACGCATATAATAGAAAATTAGTTCAAAAGTTTAAGAAAAGATTAAAAATTTTGAGTTAGTTTTTTGTAAGACGTTGAAGAAAACACATTACATCTCTCTAAATCAACTGCATTTTTATTTAAAACCCATAATACCTGCTAATAAATCTTGTGGTAGTTTAATTGCAATTCACCAACACAATAGAATTATAAGTATATTTAATCATATTTTTTGTGCTAACATCTAGGCCACTGTTTTTATTACATCTGGACCCCATGTGGTCCAAATTCTCTTTATTTATTATTATTGTTTTTCGTGAAATACAAACGCAAGCACATTTATGGAAACGGGAAAGAAGTGTAATGGGAAGATTTCTTAGCTTTACGCATTGTAACATTTTGACTACGCAATATTACTACTACTCCACGGCTGCCTAATAACTTTTCTGTTTATTTCTTTTTTATAGGATTTAGTAAATTATTAATAAGTAATTCGTTGTGTCCCTCATTTTTACAATTTATAAATCGCTTTAAGCAAAGCATCGCGATTTATTTACGCTTTGTGTAAGTACATACAGGGTGCGCCAGAACTCGCGCCCCAGAGAAAAATACCATATAAGGTAAGATACCAGGAACATGGAGAAAATGTTAAAAAAAATTATGTAAAAAAATTTCGAAGTTATGAGGGTTTAAAGTTTGTACTTTGACTCTTATTTATTTCTATTGTAAAAATAATTTTCAAAGTTTTTTTGCTATAGGCTATTAAAAGAGGAAACAAAGAAGCTGTATCCTAAATTGTAACTCAGTTCAATGTTATTTGTGGCTTTTATTGGCAAAATTTTTGTCCCTTTACTAAATAATTGTAAAAAAACATATACAAGATCATCAGTATCATTAAATAGATATAAAAAAATGTCAAATGTCAAAAAATAAATGGCAAAATTTTTTGACAGATAGAATTTTTTAACATTTTTTTTCATGTTCCTGTTATTTTACCTTACTTGAGAATTTTCTCTAGGGCGCGACTTCTGGCGCAGCCTGTATAAGGTTTTGGTAGGTCTTTCCTATTTATTAAGTAATGATAATGAAAAATGCGTTTGAGTCGTTTGTGCGTATCGGCTTGTTCTTTTCGAGATGGATCGTCTTTCATTTAAATAATTCATATAAATTTCCGATATTGAATAATTTGGGTTGGGTATTCATAATATATGAAGTGGCTGAGCCTCCCTCGAAAATTTCTTGACATGGCAATAAAGCAAACACGCAAGTGAGCGGGGGGGCGGCGAAAAAAAGATGTGTTATAGACATTTCACGGACTTTAGCTGGGTAAATTTATTTTTGTGAAAGGCAAAAAATGTGCGGAGCTTTTGAGGGAGCAAAAACGGAAAGTCTGTGGTCTCGAAGGACCTTAGCTTATCTTCCAGCGGCTCTGCGTCGTTTCCTTCTAACTTTATTAGGAATATGAGTCCATGTCGGCCGTGGTTGTTGCGTCTTTCTCCCCGAGAAAATGCTTCACCAGTTTGGCGTCCATTAAAATGCGAATGTTGTTCATTTTTCATTTTTTACGAGATTTAAAAAGTTGCACGCAAACCTCGAGATGTTTTATTTTATATTTTGCGCTTTTGTAGATGCGAGAGGGTTAATGTTTTATTACAATATGCGTTTCGGAATTTATGCCGCGCGCCGCCCTTTGTGCTGTTTTAAAACCGTATTTATGAACACTATTTTACTAACTGTTTTTCTTATTCGCCTGTCGAGATGATAAATGGCTTTTTATGAGTAGCGACCCGGTCTGAGCCCCCAAAGGTGGTTACATGAAATTACGCAAAAATCTCTCATCGCTTAAACACCCACCCATCGATCTTACTTAGCAACTTATTACTATTTTTAGATGCACATCATTTCAGGTATTTGACATTTTTTAGTTGACACGCTGTGAGCGCAGAAATTAAAATCTCAACTCAGTTTTTTTGTAAAATAATATAGGTAGACGCAAGATTATAATTCCAATATTTAATTGAATCTGAATTAATAACTGGAGGAAATTATAATTCACTGATTAATTTGCGTCCAATATTGTAAAACTGAAGAAGAAATTTTGTAGAATCGAAATGTGCTTAGATAACTTATTCTAAAGTTAATTAGACTGTAGACATACAGGGTGTTTTAAAACTCGCGTCCCAATGAAAAATGCCAAGTAAGATACCAAGAACATGGAAAAAATTATGTAAAAAAATTCTATCTATAAAACTTTCCAAATTGTGGAGGTTTAAATTTTGCACTATAATCCTATTCATTACTATTGAAAAAATAATCTTACATGTTTTTTTGCTGCAGGCTATTAGTAGAAGAAACAAAGAAGCTGTATCCTGAATTATAATTACATATCTTTAACGTTATTTGAGGCATTTATTATTTTTACTGAATAATTATGAAAAAACATATACAAAATAATCGGTAACAATAAACAGAAGACATAAAAAAGTTAAATGTCAAAATTTTTTGTTAGACAGAATTTTTTTTACATTTTTTTCGTGTTTCAGGAATTTTATCTTACTACTAACTTACATTTTTCTCTAGATCACGAGTTCTAAAACACCTTGTATACATGAAAAACTTACATTAAATCTATAGACCGTTAAAACGACTCCTGAGGCTAAGGGCTTGCCCAAGAGTGGTACCAGAAAATACCACCACTCATACAGAAGTTGAGAGAACTGCAAGTTTAAAGAGAGTTAGAATTATGTACTTAAAAAAACTCTTATAATAAGCAGGATTTAGGGCCATTTGTGCTTATACCTGTTTAACACACCCTCTATGCTATACGCTTTGCAGTCGACTGTTTGTAGCAAAATCTTACCATACAGTAGAAGTTATGCCGCTTCATTAAAAAATGATTTCAACTACTGTATTTGTGTTAAAAGTTCTAACCATCTGACGTCTAATTCGACTGGACAACTTTAGCTTTTATGATAAAAGATTAGATATGCATTTGCAGGAAAAAACGCTCTTTAAAGTCTAATCCGTAATAGAACTTCGAAAAAAAATCTGAGATTTTTAAAACATAGAACTAGCTACCTTTTACAATTATTAAGTAAAATAGTATAATAATACAATGTACGATTTATTTCCTGATCTGTTCGAAGTTTTCAGGTGAGAATAATTAATAGGTGTAATAAATTTCTTTTTACCAATAAAAATTAATAATTAACTGTAAGAATAAGTAATTAAAAAAGTAAAATCAGCTGAGCTTTCCTCTCAAATTTTTGGCAGTGTTTTCGTAGTGTGGTTCATATCTAACAAACATTTTGAGACAGAGTGTATAGATTCGTATTCTTATTTATTAGAACGGTATGTTATTTTTTACCTCCATTTTATTTTTATTAATAAAATTAAATAAGTAATACTTAAATCCAAACATTTTTTTTATTTGACCGATTTGTAAAGAGGTCAGATTTGTAAAGAGGTCGGATTTGTAAAGAGGTCAACTCAAAGGTGATCTAAATACCGGACTGTACTAGCTTATAGTAATATGTACTTTTATACTATCAGTTAAAGGTCAGCGATGAAGAGTCTATGTAAATTTTTCACAATAATTTTTGTAGTTGCATATACACAGTTCTTGATCATATTTTTTTATAGTTCCACAACCACGTATGATGCAAAATTTGATGTCATAATTGAATATTACATATGTCAAAATCTCTTCGATGTATGTCTTCCTGAACAAATACAAGTTATCGCGTTTTTATTACTCTACAATTAGCTTCATTGTTAACTACTCAAGTACATTCGTAACCCTGCGACTGTAATTGTACTACAAACATAAGGTGATAACGTGAAAAATTTATTGCTCAATTTACACACGTTCGATGTTACGTGCCACATGCCTCTCCAATAAGATGGTAATTACGTCAAAGTTTCCCCTTTTTTTCCGAAAATACGATTTCGTCACGTAATAACTTAATTACCCAAATAAAACCCAAAATTAGCCGTTTCTCTATGCACATGCAGCGCCCATAACCGTGAAATATGCCCATCGGACCGTCCATATATAAGCGCGATAATCGCCTAGAGTCGTAATTGCGGAACACGCAGCTCCTCTCGGACACGATGCTTTTAATTGTTCGCTTTCTTATAAAGTCCGTCGCCATCGTCTAATCCGATTTGGAGTCTTCTTATTAATTTATGAGCGGATTCCGACGATTCCCCTCGATCTGTTTACGGTATTGCGGATTGCGGTGGTTCGACGTGGCTTTATCATGCAACTCTCGTATAAATTAAGCATAACTAGGTGATTCCGAGAGAACCGGCCCGAAACTAACATCAGATTTCTATCGGACTGCAGTTGGAAAAACGGAATTCCTAAACGTTGTTTAATTTAATTAAGGAAGAAAGGGGCCGTTTAATCGATTAACTACCCTGATTCCGGACGATTTTAACAAAAAACATTGCTACCGAACGGACTTGATCTGGGCCCGAGTACAACTGACTTCGGTAAATATTTTCCTTGCTTTTAGGACAAATAAAACAATCAATTACGGCAATTAAGACCAAGAGGGAATCGAATAACGAATTTTAATGAAGTTCCACTCTCGGGAATTTTAAACATACTTAATATTGATGGAAAATCGATAGCATGTTTATGTATGTAAGTAGTAGCTACTTCCGTTTGATGTGTTTCTCAATTTCGACTTCGCCTAATGAACACTTTTCTTATTAAATATGCAAAAGCTTCTACGTTAATAGATATTTTTTTGTAAACAACCACACATTTTGTAATATAACAGTAATTAAAAAAAATCACTAATTTTATGATAAAATACTTACGTAAACTAAAATATTGTCGACTTGAGTATTTATACAATTCGTATACCACGAAAGAACTTCACCAACTACAATGATAGCTGACAAGATAACGAGAAATGTAGGAGGGGAAACTTCCCCATATATATTCGTAATGCAATTCAATCTAAAGCATTCCGACAAAAATTTGTAATTTTTGTTATCATGTATTTAGTCTTTGCCATTAAAGGTCATTGACAGACAAGTACAGGGCGGCCACAAGCGGGGGTGCAAAGCGTGCGACGCACGCCAGAGGGGGCGCCAAAACAGTAACAAAATTTAATTAAAAAAAGACATTTTGAATTTCGCAGTGAACAAAAAAAACTGCAAGAGAAATACAACCAAACAAAAAAAAGAAAACGTTACCTATGTGAAAAAACTAGACATGTGGCCGTTTCCTGTTACAGAGATTAGAGTTCGAACACTGTAAGATGTACACCGTGAGCCATTCAAACGGCTTGTTGGATTTAAATGACTCAAGGTGTTCATCTTACAATATTCGAACTCTAATAAAGGTATTGCGCCGCCAAGTTCACTGAATCTGGACTTCTGAATAAAACAAATTTTATATAGTTTCCTAGAACTTTTGGGTTAAAAAAATACACATACTAAGATCGCATCCAATGTCTTATTTCCTTTTATTAGTTTGCTTTATTACTTAGTGGATTCGTGCTTTGTGGTAGTCGAAAATTTGTTTTTAAATTAGTAATTTTTTTGGAAGTATTACAATTAAACAAAGTCTAGGTATCATTTTTTTAAATTTTTAATCCTATTTTAATTATACGTTTAGATATAATCATTGCAGCAAACAAAATTGCTGACAACTTAATGTAGAACCAAATTTTCCGATGATGCAAACTATACGCCCAAAAGAAAACCAAAACTCTTTGATTACAAACATCAAGACGAAGTTGTGCTAGATGCAAAAAATTATTTCAAAACTAACTTTTCTACAGGATTTTGAATCAAGTTTTGTCTTCTTTAAATAATGGGTTTGAAAAACTAACTACATTTAATGATACATTTGGATTTGTTGACAATATGTTGAATTCTTCGGAAGAATTATTAAAAAATTTCAGACTTTTAAAGCTTTAAAAATACATTTCATCGAAAAAACTATGCAAGAACCTTAAATATTTTACAATATCTTTTTGAAAATAATTTAATTTCTACTTTTCCTAAAACAGGAATTACATTAAGAATTTTACTTTCCTTACCAGATTCAGTTTTGTCTGGCAAAAGATCTTTTCTAAATTAAAAATCATTAAAAATTATTTAAGATTTACCATTGTTTAGTCTAGGCTAGCAGCTTATCTATTATTGCTATTGAACAAGAGCTGTTAGATAATTTAGATATGAAAGAGCTGGTTACAGAGTTTGCAAGGATGAAAGTGAGGAAAATACAATTTCTTTAAGGATTTATAGTTTCTATGATGTTATGTTTTATTTTCTTATTTGCGTTTTTAAAATCACAAATTTAATTTTTCATTAAATTTTTTTTTTGTTATTTTGTTTTATTTATTGGCACTTATATATTTTTAAGTATCATACCAATGTAATAAAATAAGGATACCCATATTTTCTTAACAAACTAACAAGGGGCGTCAAATTCAAATGTGCACGCGGGCGTCAAAACCTCTAGCGGCGGCCCTGGACAAGTATTTTCGCTCATTTCAGTTTGTTTACTGTTGGTGTAGTAGTCAAGTTAAGAAAATCTATAGAGAACAAACATTTTTTGCTTGGAATATTTTTATGAAGTAATCTCCACTCCCCATAAATATTTAAAATTATATACGCGCAATTTAGTTGTTAATTTTTGCAGGCATTTAAAATTTTATGGCAACGCAACATGAAAAAATAAAACAAAACACGCATGCAATATGTGTTCGGTGCATCGGCAATAATTTAGCAAAAGCGTTTCAACAATACATCAAAGTTCAATCGATAAGATTCATCTAGCTATAAAAATATTATTCCAACCATTTGAAGCTAAAATTTGACCAAGCTTTATTAAATTTTATTGTAAATACATAGCATTTTCATGCCCACAATCCGTAATTGTATTATGGACGAACCAATGTGCAAAATCATCTTTATTCCGCTTTGGAGTCATTCAGTTTTAATTGAAAGTTATGAAATGAATGAATCTTTCAGGTTCTCATTTTTCAGATTATTAATAACTACTACACTGTTCTTTGTCAGTTTGTAATTGCTAAACTTTTCAGTTTGTCTGATTTGATTGTTTACAAACCGGTACTCAAGAAGTTCTCAAAAATAACTGTTGATTTTAAATGAGAATTCGATAAACTTTCGCTTATTACATTCAGTATTTCAGTTAGATCTATAAACAATGAAAAATCCTAAAGTAAATAAAAATCAACTCTTTTAAAATACTTTTACTGAATTAATAGCACCGAATCAATATTTATTTACTCAGACTGAAACTGTATTTTTAGCGTTTAACATAATGTTAAAATTTTCAGGCTAGATAATAATGAATATCAAATTATAAAACTATAGCTTGAAAAGCTTGCAAAGTGACAATAATAAATACTCTCCATATTTTAAGTAAAATGTATTGTCTTATTTCATGAACTGAAAAACTTAGATATTAATTTCCTTGTACAATCCTCTGTAATTTTCCATGTTGTTACAGACAAATGTCTGATTTCCCAACTCAATGTATCATTGTTTCATTTTTAACGGTTTTTTGTATAGACATATTATGTTCCTATACAGGTGCGCCAGAACTCGCGCCCCAGAGAAAATTTTCAAGTAAGGTAAGATACCAGGGACATGAAAAAAATGTTTAAAAAATTCTATCTGTCAAAAAATTTTGACATTTATTTTTCGACATTTGACATTTTTTTAT